GCGGCTGCTCCAATGGGATTCGGGCCCCGGCACCCCTGGCTACGAGGTGTATGTGTCGTAGGCCATCGGGGAACTGTAGCCTTATTCGATTAAGATTTACACGATTTATTTATAAAATCTAAATAGACATTGTCCTAGCGCACGAAGTCTGTGTTTGAACTGTAGTAGCTTACTTTTGTATGTTTTTTTTTTGTTTGGGCGCGGGAGTAACCTATATTTTTTTTCTTCTTTTTCGCAGACCCTATGTAGGCCTATTTTCTTGTAGCGTACCTGAAAAAAGCGAACCTGAAAATTCATTTACTTTCTCTTGTTTATTTTAACCCTCTCCTCTTCCTTTTTTAATTATTTATTCATTTCATCCCCTACTTGTTTATTTACTTTTCTCCTCCTCCTCCGCATACCGTGCCAAGGCCATGCATGTACTGTGCCAGGGACGCCTATGGGGGGGGGAGGGAGATATGATGTACCCGGAGAGTGTACTTTGGCAGAGCCCTGATGTGATGATATCTAATTGATCCGGCCTTCGGTAGTGCAGCGGTTGTGGAGACGCTTATCAGGTGTACTAAAAAGAAAGAAAGAAAAGGTGACAAGTAACAGGACAGAAGAAATGGATGAAATGGGGAAAATGGTTAATTAAATGATCAGATAAATTAGAATAGATAAGAATAAGATGGTTAACTAAATAATAAGAAAGGATAGTAGACCTACCTTTGAGATGTGTCCTGACACTTTGTAGTATACACAGCTGTACTATATGACTATCGTGATATATAAAACAATTTGTAATGTAATTTTATAAGAATGTTATGAATACACAGCAGTGGATATAAATAATTTAGATAATGATTAGAATAATGATAATGATGATGATGGTAGTGGTGTTGATAATGGTGATTATGATAATAATGATGATAATGATGATAGCAACATTGATAATGATAATGGTGATAGCAACATTGATAATGATAATGATGATTATGATAATAATAACAATGGTAAAACTAAGGTTATGACAGCAGTAGTGACAGTAATAATAGTAAAAGTTGTAATAATGATAATTTACTGATAGTATAATGATGATATTGAGAATGCTAATAATAATAATAATAATAATAATAATAATTATTATTATTATTATTATCATTATTATATATCTTTATTATTATTATTATTATTATCATTATGGTATAAAGAAAATCGACTAAACAGGGGCAGTTCAGCACGGGCAGTTTTGTTTTCAGTGAAGGAATTGTATGTAAATTGCTTTGCATTTTTCCATGCTCAGTATCATTTCTGAAAATGCCATGTCCATCAAAAAGGTATTAAGTAAAAAGAAAGAAAGAAAGAAAGAAAACGGTAATTGCTTATATGTTATAAAGTGAAGTACAAATATTTCAATTCTGTGACGAAGAGTTTGGAATGATGTTAAGCTAAGGGTAGAAGAGGATAGTCGTCTGTATTTAAAGCCGAAACAATGCGAAGACACTAATTCTCACTAATGAGAACTAAATTCAGCTTAATCATGAAACTTTGACTTCTAAAGCTGAGGATTGGCAGGGCTGACTCTTTATTTGGTCCGTAATTGCTCATGAATAATAAAACGGTATCATAATTTATTGAATATTTGTGGAAATTGAAGCGTTCGCCATCGATATGCCCGGAGCCCTGGGCGAGATTAATGGCGCAGTCGGTCGGGAGAGAGAGAGAGAGAGAGAGAGAGAGAGAGAGAGAGAGAGAGAGAGAGAGAGAGTGATAGACAAATAGATAAAAAGATGGATAACTGTAGGATATATATGTATGGGAGAGGGAGGATAATAATGATAATAAAAAGTGAAGAGAGAATAAGAATAAGAGATAAAAAAGTAAAGAAAGAAAAGTTGAAGAAAAAAAGAATAAATAGGAGAAAGGACGAGAAGAACAACAAGAAAAACAACAAAGAAAGAAGAACAAGAGGAAAAGGGCAAAGGAAGAAAAATAGAAAATTATGAGGAGAATGGGGCAGATATACGCTGATAAACTTCCGTTTTGAGAAAATCAGTTTTGCAGTCCGGCCCTGCAAGGTGGTCTGTATTAGGAGGGAACTCATGAAAATATACATTGAATTTAAGCTAATGTAAAACAATGAACTATGATTTATTATAACCAATAGTAGTAATTTATTGTATAAGATTATTAGTGATTTATATGAATGACTTAATAATGAAATAGTGTGTAGGCATTTATAAGAACCTATTTAGATAATGTGTAATAAAATCCAGATCTGCAGCAATAGGTTCTGCGTGTCTGTCAGTGTCACGAGAGAATGACAACCAGAACGCGGAGCAAGTGTCGTGTCGTGACAGGAAGTGTGAAAAAAACTTTCTATCGTGTCACATTTTCCTTTTCTTTTGTTGTGTGACAGTGTCATTGCAACAGGGAAGATCCAGCAGCATCTCGATCAGTCTCCCTGTGTTTTGGGCTTACCGTCTGGCCTGGCGAACCTTGGGAAAGTTGGGGTAACTAGTTGGTACTGAAGTATGCCCAATGGATGTCTTATAATCAAAAGAACTTTTGATTTCCGAACTATTGTTGCGTGCTATCTTCCTTTTTTAATATTTGATAATTTCCGTTTTATATTTAGGCCCGATTTTTTTATGTTAGATGTAATCATACTTGATTTCGTCAGGGCCCTCCTGCATTGTAAATAACTAAAAGCTAATGCCGAAGCACTCTGTGTGCGTAGAAGATGTGTGTGCAAATTAACACGAGGGTGAGGACAATCCATGTTACTTCACCCGGCTGAGTTGTAAACGCTTGTCTCAATATGCTTTTTAGACGGAAGAAAGATAAATGTTAGCTGTGGGTTCCAGCTTTATTTTTTGCTCGCTGCAAAACCAGATATTTATACTCAGACGATTTAATGGTATGATCTCTGAACACCTGCGCTCTTGCAACTATGTCTCATTAGATGAAATCATGTTCATTTGCGGGTAATGAATACATGCACCTGCGCCCGAGCAGGTGTTTATTGCCTGCTTGCTTTAGAAGGATGGTGGGGGGGGGGGATTCACACCTGTTTTTCTTTAACAAGAATTGGCTAGGGTGATTTTTTTTGTGGGGGTATTTCTTTCTTGGTGCCTAGAACAAATTTGTTTAAAATATGGTTAAAATTATATATTATATTTATATTTTTTACATGGGTTTGCCTTTGGAGTCGGACCTTACAGGTGTTGAAGAAGGCAATATATATAATAGCAGCGTAAAAGGCGTGTGTGAGGGATAATACAGAGGAGCGGCCTCTGGGAGAGCCAGCTAGAAGCACCTGTCAGGGAATGGCGCGTCGGGAAGGAGGCGAGTGACAGGTGTGGCGCGAGGATGGCCGGAGTGAATGGATCTTGCTGTGGAGGAGAAGTGTGTCATATGCCGCCTTGACTTTCTATCGCCACAACACCGGTATTAACTGCTTGTACACACACACACACCCTTCTGTGCCGCTCTCATGGGGTTTGAGGATCTTCCCTGGTGGGTAGGGCAAAGGGCGTGTTCGGGGGGCTGTTCTAGTCTCCTCTGCCACCGTCTTCTCTTTCTCCTTCTCGTCCTCTTCTATCTCATCCTCTTCCCCTTCCTCTTCCTTCTCCTTCTCCTTCTTCTCCTCCACCTCCATCTCCACCTCCAACTCCTTCTCCTCTCCTCTCCACCTCCACCTCTCACCTCCACCTCCACCTCCACCTACCTCCTCCTCCCTCCTCCTCCTCCTCCTCCTCCTCCTCCTCCTCCTCCTCCTCCTCCTCCTCCTCCTCCACCTGTGCCCCCCACACACACATACCCACCACACCTGCAGCCCCACAACCGGGCCACCTCGCCTATGGTATGGCGGTAGGGATTACACCTTTGGGTTTGCGTTACCTCTGAGTGTGAGAGCTCCCACTTGAGGGTGAGTGCTGACCCTTGAGGGTGAGTGCACACACTCAGAGGTGTGGGGTTACCCACCACTTGAGGTAACACAGTAACCGCCACGCGTGCGTTGCCTCACTTCTCGCACTCGAGGCTGCTCCTCCGTTGCAGATATTTAGGACGCAGCGTGCTTGATCCTGCGCACATACCTCCGCACGAATTTGCACATACATAAGCACGCGCACGCACACACACACGCACCGCACACGCACCGAACACTCACATTCACACACACTCACATTCACACGCACACTCACGCTTTCACACACACGCACACGCACACGCACACGCACACGCACACGCACACACACACGCACACACACACGCAGGCAAAGAATGTATAACCTAGCACAGCACTCCGAGTTCTGCAATTCGCCTCACCTTATTTACTTATTTATTTATCTATGTTGTTTATCTGTTTTTATATTATTGTTTTAAAAAATCTAGTCTACCATTTCTGACGTGACTTGGAGAATATTTCTTCGTATATGTAGGAGTTTATTCGGAGATCCATCAAGATGGATTTTTTTGTTTCATAATTAATTGGTGCATTTTGAAAAGCCATATTCGCTTTATTTTGATGATAACATTATATGAAAAAAATGGGAAATGCATACCTTGTTATATCTAAAAAACTTTGTTGAATAACAACGTATATACGAATATAAGATATCTTAAGTAAAGAAATATAAACACTTTCACAGTAGACCTGTAAGCATCAGTATCAGCATCGTCATTGTCATCATTATCATGATGATGATGATGGTGATGATGATGATTTGTTGATGATGATGATGATGATGATGATGATGATGATGATGATGATGATGATGATGATGATGATTGACGATGACGATGATGATTATGACGATGATGATGATTATGATGATTGACGATGAAGATGATGATTGATATTGATGATGATGATGATGACAGTATACTTGTTTATTCACTAATACCTATTTACTGCATTGGCTGTAACCCCCTGAAATTGACTGTCCTGATTAAACTAGTTTTATCTCCCTGAACACTCAAAGCCTCCGTCTCATACTCGTCTTCTTCCGCAGCGATGGCAGCGGCGGTGGTTTGTCCTCTACGACGATGGGGAACTCACCTATTCCGTTGACGACCACGTGAGTTACTTTGTCTTTTTTGTGCGTGTGATTTGGTGCTGTTTGAGAAGAGGTGTTATTCTAGGACTTTTTTTTTATATCTTCGGGTTTTCCTTTTAGTTTGTCTAATTTTATGATATAGGCTTATGTTTTTTTTGTGTGTGTCCAGGTCATTCCTACCTCTGGCAGTGCTGTTTCTTTTTTCATTAGTTTTTTTGGGCTTAAATTTTTTCACAATTTCATATTAGATTTGACACATAATATATCTTTAACATTGTTTTAAAGTAATGTCTTTTCTTTTCTTGTTTCGGTACACATTAATATTTACAATACAGGGTTTCTCGTAGGAGGTGTTTAGATGTAACACCAAGATGTGACCAGATTGATTTTAATGTCATCTGTGAAGTATATTAGCACAATATCTCTTGAAAGGCAAGTTAGCACAGTTTCCAAGCGCTAGCGGTCTGCTATCAGAAGTCCTAATGTTGTGAGGCATAATGTCCTGTATGTAGAAAGCGTTACTATATGTTTTTTATTACTTTTTAATGGTTCATCTGGCCACTTTCATATCTTGGGTTTATTTTATTACTGTACTTTATATAAATCAAGATGATTGTAAATAATGGTAGAACATAAAGAATTTATTATTATAATTGTATGATGTCATGCTGATCTTTTAATGGTATTAAATAAAACAGTGAAAATTTATTATTATTCTAGGAAAGCTAAAAGGCATATTAGGTCTCAGGTGTATCCTACACAAAGTGTAATGAGATGAGACTTATTTTACTTCATAATATGCAGCAAAACTTATCTTCTATACTTACCTGCCTATTTGTTTTTCAGCCGGCAACCATCCCTCAAGGTGTAGTAGACATGAACCGGGTGCTGGAAGTCTCCCAGGCAGAGGACGTTACTGGCAACCAGTTCAGTCTTGCAATCACAGCACCCGACAGAGTAACTTTCATCAAGGGTACCTGTCGCGAGGAGTCCAGGTGGTGGATGGATGTCCTCTCAGTTTTCCCGAGATCGCAAAAGGTTGGAATTAGTGTCAATAGATTTCCATTATAATTGAGGCTATGTTATTCTCAGACCAATTGCCTGGATTGTGTCTATTATATATTTTGTTAGTTTAAACTTTCATTTATAACATAAACAAATGAGATAGAATACATTAATGTGAATATGTTAATGCTCATTTTATAGATGAAGGGTTAGATACACAAAACTTTTAATAAATACATTTTCAGGCAATTGGTTTGAGAACACCTTTAGATGCACATGCTGTCAATCGTTCTTTAGATATAATCATATTTGTGTATTTCTATTATATATTGTGAGTTCTCCATGTTGCACCTCATATACATGTTTTCGAGCTTGCTTTATATACCTTAACCAAGAACATATTTGGGTATAGTGGATAACAAACCCTCGCAACCCCACAGCAACAAGGCCGGCACAAACGCAATGCAACGTTCCCGGGAATCAAGACAACTACAGTCTTAAAACAGAACATGGTGTCTCATTCTCCATCACCTTCACTCGGTAAGGAGAGGCAGGGAGAAGGGTTTAAATGGTCTTGCTGGATGAATGAACAAAAGAATTCATTCATGACATGGGTTTGTCCAAAGTGTTTAAAGTTGATTACTGTCCGTGCTACAACACTTACACTATGCCATTTCTTTTTAGATTTTAGCTTCACAAGTATTTAAATAGATGTGGTGAGCAAATGAAAATGTCTTTCAGATTTCCATGTTACTGATATATAGAAGCATTACTCTTAGTGTGTGTGTGTGTGTGTGTGTGTGTGTGTGTGTGTGTGTGTGTGTGTGTGTGTGTGTGTGTGTGTGTGTGTGTGTGTGTGTGTGTGTGTGTGTGTGTGTGTATGTGTGTGTTTGTGTGTGTGTGTGTGTGTGCATGTGTGTGTGTGTGTGTGTGTGTGTGTGTGTGTGTGTGTGTGTGTGTGTGTGTGTGTGTGTGTGTGTGTGTGTGTGTGTGTGTGTGTGTGTGTGTGTGTTTAGACAATAGCATGCACTTTTTATATGTGTCATTATAGAGAAGAACACCTTTGGATTTACCTTGTGTTATGAAAATGATTGTCTGATTGTTGCAATTATGTTTATTATTCCTTGTTTATTGAATAAACGCAACTTTTTTTGGTGCTGAAAATATTTTGTAGAAGTATGTGGATCATTTCTGCTAATTCTGTGTTCTTAAGTTGCTAGACTTTTATGGCTGTTGTAGTTTGTCATGCAACTGCTGAATTGATTATTCTCTAGCATTCTTTTTTTTGGCAATAGTAGATATGTATTGCAATGCAGCACTTGAGATACTTTTTTGTTTTACTAATTTATTTGTGACCCCTGCTTGACCCCTGGACCTGCTTGCCCCCTGCAGCCCCCACCACCTTTGAGACGCCAATAGGACAACGGGTCAGGTTCCACAGCTGCACCACAGATCCCCTGGGGGGCCGCCCCCCCTCTGCCCCTGCACTAGACATGGAGGAGGACGTCTTCCCTACCAAGGACTCCTCTGCTTCTGGCACCCACATCCCCTCTTCTTCCACTAGCCAGGCCCCCACCCCCACACCCCTGTATCACTCCACCCCTCTGTCCTCCCTCCCTCCCCCTACCAGGATCCTGAGGGACGAGCACAAGGAGAACACACCTCCATATGCTGAAGGTAGGGTCTGCTGCTCTGTGTGGGCTGATACTGCAGACAATGCTCATGCTCCTGATGCTTTTTTTTTCCTTCTCTGTTGGGATTATTGTTGGCTTTGGTGTAATGATTTTTTTGTTGTTGCTGTAGGTGGGTAATTTTAATTAGAAGTGCATTGTGCCATTATTATTCCCTGTGGTGAGAAAGTTTGTTAGGAATGCTAATTTGCTTTTATTGTTTTGTTTTGAGGTCCAACTATATGTGCTGACTCTTTATCCTTCTTCCAGACTACACAGACAACCCACCCACCTCAGAGTCTCCACCTACACAGGACAAGTTGAGTCACAAGTTCCGCACGCGGCGTGCAATAAAGCGGGAAGTCCGAGGTCTCACACAGCCTAGGAGTAAGTCAGAAGTCACAGCAATGTTTCCTGCTAACCTGCCGTCGTCAGTGTCTCCCCTGAGGCATGGGTCCACAGCCACCACTGGACACACCACAACCTCCCTCTACTCTTCTACTGGCAGCATTGCCACTTCTGCTTACTCTACCCCAGAGGGCTCTCACTCCACACTCTCTCCTGCTCATTCAGCTGTTGTCGATGCTATTTCTGCCCCTGAGCCTCGCACTGTCCGAAGGGCCACTATCACCCTCACCTCCTCTCTTTCCTCCTTGAATTCCCTCACTTCCTCCTCTTCATCATCCTCATCCTCTTCCTCCTCCTCAGCTGGCTCCTCAGTAGGAGTCAGTTCATCCCTATCTTCTTCTCTGGGCGGTATTGGGAGCAGTGGTGGGGACGGTGGTGGTGGTGTGGGAACCCCATCATTTCGGAGCCTTGATTCAGGCGTGCATGTTCCTACTAGACCCCACGCTCGCACGGCGCCCGACAAGCCAGGTGTGTGTGTGTGCATGACTAACCCACTTTGTCCTCACTTAGTTCAAGTTCTCTTGTTCTCAGACATTGTTATTTCTTCAGTTAGAAGAATATAGCTCTCTATGAATTGTATAGATAATGTTGTCTGTTCTCCTTGTTAATTTCATAACGTGTCATTCTTGAACTGAAATTGAAATTTCAAATTGGAACTGGCATAGATTTATTAAAGTAGTTCTTGCTGTTAATCCCTTTTATAAGATTCAGAGATATTGAGAATATATGGGGTAATGATTTGTTTCCAAAAGGAAAAAGAGATACAAACGTAATTAGTAGTGTAATTGAATAATTAGAGTAATAGTCTGTATATGTATGTGTGCATGCCTGAGTGACTCTTAGCCTTCATGCCTGATTGTATGCTTGATTGCCTGTGTGCGGATGTGCCTGCAGGTGTGCAGGTATTTGTGTGTGGGCATGTGAGACTAAGGGAGAGAGAGAGAGAGAGAGAGAGAGAGAGAGAGAGAGAGAGAGAGAGAGAGAGAGAGAGAGAGAGAGAGAGAGAGAGAGAGAGAGAGAGAGAGAGAGAGTGAGAGTGAGAGTGACAGTGAGAAAGAGAGTCTGAATAAGAATGCTTGTGAGTATGTGTTTATGGACTTATGTTTCTCATTAACCGTTTTGTAATATTTCATTATTATTCAGAAAGAGCAGGCAGATCATTGGCCACGAATTAAATAAATTAGTTTATTATGGGGTAAAAGATGTACATTAAGAAGTGAGGTACAGTAATTTGTGTTTATACTAATTTATATGTTATGTGTGTTTTCACTTTTTTGTACTAGTTTTGATGTCTTGTAATAACTGTGTTTGTAGATGTAAATTTTTAAAAATGTGTTCAGTGTCACATTTAATATTTCAACTGTGTGCACTCCATGCTTTAACCACCTGCATGATGCTTTGAGTTACGGCTGTGTTATTAATATTTCCATTTTTGTGTTCTTGTTTTGTTATTGTGTGTTGAAATTGTTTTTATTAATGTGATGCTCTTATTAATTATGTATTTTAATGTAATTGATGTGTTGTGCATGTTGGCATGTGTACTTTGGGCAGTTTTTGAACATATAGGATGTTTCTCAGGACAGATGTAGATTCTTACATATTTTGTGATAACATGACCTGTAAGAAAGAAAATTAGTAATGCCATTGTAGTAGGGAGAAGTTGTGTACATTCTGAATCTGCTTTATGTGATTGCTTAGATATTTTTAAATCTTTCATCATAAAGGTGCAGTTATTTTGCATAGGAAGGTACATAAGCAACCTTAGTATTTTTTTTATTGATTTGTAATGTCATACTTACACACCTATATTAGATTTAATTGATTGGTTAATGAGTTAGATCATACATTATTACTTGATCCTATATACCATTGATTGTAGGACAAAAATACTAGTAAAGTTCACTGCTTTCTCATATTATAAAAGTGTTAACACTAGCATGTAACTATAAAAATAGTTGTGAAATAGTAATGGTAATCAGTAGTTGTTTACTGTATATATGGATAATTTATCAAATTATTTAGTACAGTAATAATACATTAATAGATTGAGCAAAGAAAGAACATCTGTCATGTAAGAGCAAGACTGTGTAGTTCCAAATTACTTTTATTTCCACAGGTGGGATAAATATTGGTAGCTGCAGTAGGCTTCAAACTGGAAATAAGCAAATATTTTATGATTATTATAAGTGTAAAGTGTAGCTGTATAAGTGTTTTGTAAATTAATTCATCTTCGATATTCAGGTGAAGTTACAAGACAACTTCTACTCTCAGACCTAGAAGAATCAAAGCGTGAAGAAAAATTGAAAGACATTGCTGACTCAATAACACGGTTGAGAGGGAGTTCCTCGTTGTCGTACCTAAGCAGCAAGGTAGGCAGAATATGAATGTGGTCATTTTAAAAGTGTATAGAGTTTTCTGAAGGAAAGAAATGGAGAGATCTTATCCTTGACATGCATGAAAGAGTTCTAGAGCTTAACAGATACTACATCACTTGTTTGTTGATGTAGGTAAGACCTTAATATTCATATTTGATTTTCTAAAAACGTTTCAGTCATGGATGCTTTTCACAAAAAGGGAAATTATGATGAATGAGATATTTCTAGAGAGAAAATTATTGGATAAAATATTTGTAAGACCATCAGTCTAGAATGTTTCTTGTCAGAAATCCTCAAACTATTTAGTTTTTTATTGTAAATATTTTGGAATGATAACTGTTAGCACTAATGATTGTTTCTACAAGCAGTCTGGTCTGGGTGATGTGAAGCCGACGCGTGAAAGAGATGCTCAAGAT